CATTGGTCTGAAATAGGGAACCAATCATAACGCAGGTCTGAAACAGGGTTTTGATTTAAGGGTCAGGTCATAAATAGGGTTTCGAATTTTTGGTCAGGTAATAAATAGGGTAGGGAATATCGCAGAGTTTGGTTATAAATAGGATAAGGGTTTTGGGAAGCTGAAGAATAGCCAGAAACGTTATTTTAAAAGCCTTCTCGTGCGCGTGATGCAACACTTCTCGCTTTCTTCTGAAATCTATCAACGTGTCCGGTCCGAAACAGTCAATCAAAATTACCGATACTTTCGATTGCACATCCATACTGATATATCCACCTTCAGTATCCTCATGGTCAACCTTGATCTTGAGAATATGTCGAAAACGTTGGGTTTTACAATAAATTTTCTTTTCCAGTTGTCAGCGTCATACATATAAATTTACCTTCACAATCATTTACCACTTTCGAAAATGACAAGAGTTTTTAGTTTCTCGGAATTTTTTAAAATGTCTACCGCTTTGATGTCAACGTTTCGAAACCGTTACAAACTCTGGCCGACTCTTTATGTGCTCTATCCATACATTATATTACATGCTTGTATACAATGAAGACATAATTTACATATACGATTACACATGCAGTCGCGCCGTTACAGGCCTGGTTTTGAATAGGATCGTATCGAAAGACTCAAACGGATATCTATACTAGCCTTTGTAGCAGGGCAATTACTTACACAAAAATCTCAAACAAATACACCTTTCAGTAATAATTTTTAAACACTTTATTTACAGAGATAATTGAATTACTCAGTTACCAAAGACAATTTCAAATAATCAACAAGTTAGCTGAAAGGAAAATAATGATACTGATATGATATTATACACACAACAATCGCTTAGCAATATTTAAAAGCAATAGAAAGGCAAGCAAATAGAGTCAACCAACAGGGTAATCTTTGTTTACAATATTTTGCACATAAGCATGAGCACCTCATTTACTGACCGAGCTACAAAAATATCGACTCTGTATATTGAATGGTCCTGGTACAACATACTACAAGGAATTGGTCAGAACACTTATCCAAACTATGCTTTAATTTTTTTAAGGCAATCGCAGAGCTCATTAAAAGCAAAACGAAAATAAATCATTTATTTACAAATTCAGTCCAAACTTTTCTAACTCCATTAATTTTCTAAGCGATTTTTCTAAGGTAAACAGTTTAATACATTGTCATAGGTATAAAAATAATCAGGAATCGTTATTTGAGTAAATTTTAGTTGGAATTGTACAAAAAAAATAGATTTTTCCCTCTCGATGAGCCAAGCTAATGACGTAGCAGAACGCCGAGCCGTTTAGTGTCTGATTTGCTTTTCAGTTGTGATTTCCAGTTTTAAGCAAACGGCATTTCACAAGGCTGATTTGAGGGCGCCTCAAAACGCTCATGTGCCATGCCTAAAAAGTTTACGCTAACCCATGGGGCTGATGAAATAGTAGCTAAAACTGCCACTGTAATGTGTCTTTTCCATCTTCTTTGCCAAACAGCCATGACAGCTATATTCTGATAGCGAGTCTCTATCGCTAGAGAGACGCTAGTGAAAAACCACTCGATCACCAGTTGAACTGAAGTTGTGATAGCAAAAGACTGTAAAGGTTCTAAGAGTGAATCGTCTTTTAAGAACATATATTCATACAAATACAAAACGCCGTTCATAGACACTATAGCAGTTGATTCATACAACATGCTCATGATTGTGATATCAGCCATTAGTCTCTCACGGCGAGGAGTACGAAAACTTCCCCAAGGAGCTGATGTTCTTTTGCAAATCACATGACAAATGTGATCAATCACAAC